CTGAAAGTCACGGCCAAAGTCTGGTACGAGAATCATGAGGAGGAGAACGGCAGTTGGGAAAAGTTCAAGGAGAAGCTTCACGATTTATTTGGGAAGCCCATCGGTCGAAAGGCGGCTGAAAAAAGGGAGTTGTCTATACGTGCTGAGACGTCCACAGAGCCGTATATCTCGTTTATACAGGACGTGCTGGCTTTATGTCGTAAAGTCGACGACGACATGTTGGAGTCGGATAAGGTTGGCCGCGTCCTTAAGGGGATAGCGAACGATGCGTTCAACCTGTTGTCACACGCTGGTCCCGTTAAATAGGGAGGTGATCGCCGGGCTAATTCCAAGGGCCGAGGTATCGGCCCCCCGAACCGCACCACGAAAGCGTGGACAATCTAGAAGTGGTTCTTTTTGACGCGCCAGCGGACGCCGGCTGTGGCCCAAAGAACAAGTCAGAGCCGAGAGTTGATAAACAAAACACAATTATATTCTCAATAATGGCAGATCGAAAACCATACACAAGAATGCACACTCCACAATAGATGAGGACAATATGTCACCAATCAAACAACGTACTACACAGTAGAATCAGCCACACTTGAAACAACGGACACAGACAACAATACGCACTACAATGCAGTCGCATGCATTGAACAACCAAGACACTTAAAGACTAAAGAGATAGAAAACCTATTCAGTCCAAAGTTCTTGGAACAAAAGTCTAGGTGATACTCTTCCGAGAATAACTCACTCAAAGTCCAGCGTTGTTGTCATTCCGCAGCCCTCGAAGTTTCTCTCCCAGAGAACCTCGCCGAAGTTTCTCTCCCAGGGAACCTCACGTCTTCAATTGGCCACTCTTCAAGCTTCAACTTCTTCGCCGGAAACCCGTCGGCTTCACACACGCAGCTGTTGCCACGCGTCTTCACTCGATAGCGGTAAACACACACTCTTGCCTGTAGCTCGAGTCGTCACCCCTCAGGTGGAAATCATCTTTTTCTCCCGCTTTGTCTCTACGGACAAAACCTTCGCCGACTACACGGCGGTATACCCTACGCTCTCTGGCGCTAACTTTCGTCTTCTCCTTCTTTGTCCCTACGGACAAAACCTTCGCCGACTACACGGCGGGATACCCTACGCGCTCTGGCGCTAACTTCCGTCTTCTCCTGCTCTCTCGTCTCGGCCGCTCGATTAAATACCTTCCGCGCGAGATTCCAGAAGGTTCTCGTCATTTCGTCGGCGCGATACGCAGCGAAGGCTGGGGGAAGGCGCGAGACTGTACGAGGGCCGTACCCGACTCAACCCGGCATAACACGCCCATTTTCTTCTAGAAATTTCCAGGGCTTGCTCGGTCGCTGATGTGGGGTGAGGAGGTTCGTCGGCGAAGCCACGCTTCCGAGAGGAGAGGCTCGCGCGCCAGGGGAGCCTTTAGATGTTTGTTTTCTCTTTTTTTTCTTTTTCGTTGACCTCGCGGCGTCTCTCCCGCGGTTTGTCGCGAGAATTTGGCGGCGCGCCCTTTTTGAGCGCTCGTTCTGTGACACCTGTTAATGTGCCGGAACTGCGCGACCGTCGAGGAAATTATTCAGGAATGCCGGCGTTTTGAACAGGCCAAATGCAGGTGGTTTTCAAGATCTTTCACTCCACTGCCGAACACCGCTGCGACGTCCTCCTACGAAGATGGACTGACCTCTCATCGGCAGTATTCACCGGTATCTCAAATTACGCGAATCGTCCGGTGGAAAATCGAAGGAATTACACCTGCTCTTTCCTGCAACGGCCACGTCGATTCGCAAGTACCTCTGGTTTGCTTGGTACAGTCGATTGTGCGGGAAGATCTCAGCAATTTGGGCTTCGATGTCTGCGCCGTTGCTCAGTCTCGACCATTTGGCTTCCATTCAAGGTCGCCACCTCGCCCCAGGTCACCGCTCCAGGAACGGTCTTTTTCACGCTCTCGCAATCCGGCCGAATGGCGAACGGCGGATGATCGGCCGATCTGCTTTAACTGCCGTCGCATAGGGTACGTCACACAGTATTGCCGCACTCTTGGTCTTCGTCCCCAACACAGTAGAACACTGCTGGCTGGGCCGACAGCTACCACCTTTTCCAGCCTCCTGCGCCAATCCTCGACAGCTACCGCCACCTTCCACCCTTCGATGCCCCTAATACGCAGCACAGCCACTCACCGTCGCCTCGACGTCATCAGTCTCGTTCGCCGCCTGCATGCCGCCCCCCGTCCCCTTCTTCTCTACGAACACGCCCGACCTCCCCGCTCAATTCTCATCAGAGAAACTAAGCTGTTCAGCTCTTAGAGGTGAAGCTGCATCCTCGGTACTGACCTTAAATCCTCTCCATGTACTGCCCACACGATGAAATTTGATCGACGTAGACGTTGACGGCCTGCCTGTTTCTGCACTAATTGACACCGGGGTGCATATTTCTGTGATGAGTGCCCGACTTCGTCGCCGACGGAAGAAGTCATGCCATTATAGGAATGTGCACAGCGCACATCACAATCGCCGATCACCCCATATCTGTTCTCTGTGCAGTTATTGAGCAGTGCCCCAATGACCTTCGACCACATTCGACCGCATTCGGTCGAATGCGGTCGAACCTACGATTGTGGTCGAACCTACGAATGCGGTCGCACCTACAACCGCATTCGAAGCCACTTTTATTGGCCTGGGATTTCCACCAGCGTAGCAAAGTACGTGGGTTCCTGCTCTCCGTGCCAACTTCGCAAACTTCAGGCATCTCCCTCGGCTGGTCAGTTACAGCCAATGACGTGCCCTACAACACCTTTCGAGGTCGTCGGTGTCAATCTTTATGGCCCCTTCTTGTTACTGATGATGGAAATGGATGGATAGTCACCGCCGTAGACCATATGACACGCTACGCCGAGACAACTTCAGTAGCTACTGGTTCAGCAACGGGAGTTGCTGACTTCGTCCTTCAGGCCATAATACTACGTCATGGTGCTCCTCGTGTACTTCTAAGTGACCGTGGAAAAGTATTCTGATCACAACTTTTAGGTGAAGTTCTTCGCATTTATGGTACTACACACAAGATGGCGTCCACCTACCATCCTCAAACAAACGGTCTGACCGAGAGATTTCATCGAACCCTTGCCGACATGATCGCCGTATACATTCAACCGGATCACAGAAACTGGGATAAACTTCTACCGTTCCTCACTTTCGCCTACAACACCGCTGTTCAGCGCACAACTGGCTACTCACCGTTTTATCTCGTTTACGGACGTTCACCTACTTTCTTTATCGATGTTTTCTTCTTCACCAGCAATGGCCCTCCATCACCATCTTCTTGCGAAGAATATATTTCTCTCCTTGCCCAGTGCCGCTAGCGCGCTCGTATGAACACGGAAGCTACGCAACAAGCAAGGAAGGCCGTCTACGACACCTCTCGTCGTGTGGTATCATTCCGACCGGGTGACGAGGTGCTGTTATTGACACCAATTCGCACACCTGGTCTCTGCGACAAGTTCCAGCCTCGATTCATCGGCCCATATGTAGTTTTCGACCTGACTTCACCTGTCAACTATCGTGTGACGCCTCTTTTCGTGCCAACTGACCGCCGTTACCACAGCACCGAAATTGTACACGTTTCCCGCATGAGGGTTTTCACACGACGTTCCTCGTCCCCTTGACTACCCGCCCGCAGCGGCCAGGCTGGCCGCTTCCACGGGGGGGGGGGGGGGAATCAGTGTAGGCATCTATTATGCGCTTTATCCTCATCTGAACAGCAGTAAATCATCATCATATGTTCTGGCTTACAATCATCATCTTCTTTGAACGTGCGCTTCATTATCGGGTCCGTTGCGCTTGTTCGTTCCCGAGTTCACGGCCAATAAACCTCGTTACAACCAAGGCGTCATACGATATATATATATATATATATATATATATATATATATATATATATATATATATATATATATATATATATATATATATATATATATATATATATATATATATATATATATATATTTATTTATATATACATATATATATACGACAATTAGTCAGCTGCCAGCTCGTAATACTTTCATGTGCTACGTGACGCCAAACAGGTGCATAAAGAGTGTACCACGCTCGCCTCCATGGCTACAGGAATAGCGCTGACTGACACTTCCAGGTTTCAATTCACAGATAAACCCAATAAAGAAGCTGGGTGGATAGCCCTCGTGGTATCTCAGTGGTAGAGCATTGAACACGTTATTCGAAGGTCGCAGGTTCAGTTACTGCTCACGATAAGTTAGCTTTTCGCCCACCTTTCTTTCTTCACATATACATTACAATTAGTCTTATAACTACCCCTATAAATTCCTTGCCATTATTGTCTGTTAAACCGCATTTTAATGTGCATAACACGGGAAAACTAGCCTTTAGGTGTACACTTCCCTCTTTCATTAACGAGGGTCTCGTACTGGCAGACTTGGCGCCGTTAGGTTGTATACAAGGGACGGTTGGTCAGTGACCATCTCGTAATAAGTTCATGTGCTACGTGATTCAAACAGGCTCATGAAGAGTGGGCCACACTCGCCTCCATGTTTGCCAGTTGCACTTATTGGCACTCCCACGTTTAAATTCACATATAAATACAATAAAGTGGCTGAGGTATTGCCACCGTGGTAGCTCTGGGGTAAAGCATCGATCGCGTTATTCGAAGGTCGCAGGTTTGGGTCCTGCTACCGGCAAAATATCTGTTCACCCACTTTGCTTTTTTTTACAGTACAATGAGTCTAATAAATTCCCCTCTACATTCCTTCGCAATATTGTCTGTTAGATCTGAACAATGTGTCTGAACACGGAAAAACGAGCCCTTAATTATACACTTTTTTCCCATATATATATATATATATATATATATATATATATATATATATATATATATATATATATATATATATATATATATATATATATATATATATATGATGACACTTGTAAATACGAATTTCTCGCAAACGTTTGTTAACAATACCGTTTCATTGCCAGAGAGCCTTGGACATGCGGGCACGCATAGAGGGAGGCATCGTGTACTCACCATATACCTTCACTCCACGAGCGGAAAATCAAACCTTCGGAGGCTTTCTCTCGGAAACGCTGACAGCGTGCGAGTCGAAGACAGCTTTGGTAACACACCTTCGTTATTTCGAAAACTAAACTATCAGGCCATTACAAGTGGCCTGAAGTCGTCAAGTAGTATTACAGAATAAAATAATCTGAGGCTAATACTATATGGCTTAGAAGGATTATATTCAAAAAGCCTAATGAACTACGGAGTAGTGAGCTGAAAACACAATAAAGCTTGCGTTATCATGTACTGTGGTCGCAACAACGTGCTGTTTTTCTTACTTCCAATGAAAAAGCTTGGGATTGCAGCGATCACACCCTTGCATATGCCTCCTACCCCCTCCCGCAATACTACGCCTCTGAATGTTTACACGCGATGGGAACACATGGTGTTTCTTTTTACCTGGGGTAGTAAAAAGGGTAGGAAAATATTTAGAAGTAAGTAAGAGGCCAAATCGCCTCGCGGCCTGTATAAGTTATATTCTGCAGTGATAGGTACTTTGATTCGATTGAATCTATCAATTTACAATTTCGATAAATGTACAAGTTAGTGGTAAAAAGAAGGAGGATGAGCTGGAAGAAATCGCAGCATATCCACAGAGTGCATGATGATGAGTGGGGCAAAGCGTCCGTCTGTCCGGTCGTTCTTGCTTCCGTTCATTCGTGCTTCGGTCTGCGCAACCATCCGTGCGTCCATTCGTGCATCCGCCCCGCCACGGTGGTCTAGTGGCTAAGGTACTCGGCTGCTGACCCGCAGGGCGCGGGTTCGAATCCCGGCTGCGGCGGCTGCATTTCCGATGGAGGCAGAAATGTTGTAGGCCCGTGTACTCAGATTTGGGTGCATGTTAAAGAACCCCAGGTGGTCTAAATTTCCGGAGCCCTCCACTACGGCGTCTCTCATAATCATATAGTGGTTTTGGGACGTTAAACCCCACATATCAATCCATTCGTGCATCCATCTCTCCAATCATTCATCGGTGCGCCATCCGTTTGTGCGTTGATCCGTGCGTCCATTGCAGTGTTGGGCCGTCTATCCATTCATTCTTCCGTGTGTGCGTCCGTCCATTCGTCCGTCCACTTAGTGAACACTCCAAATACCACCATCTCACATTTTTTCATCTTATAATCAGAATATAGAGGTACCATCATCGAGTGGATATTCCAAGAACTAAACAAGAGGTGGCCCACGATCACCTTCTTTCGGCCTGCACTTTGTGTATACTTCCCACCTGTTAACTCCTCTAGTTCATGGCACTGTGGCCCAACCCTCGCTAAACATTGCTAAAATCAAAGATATTATGCCCGGCGAGTTTATGTGGTAAGGCTTTCTGGTCAGATATTGCTCGAGGTGTGTTCTTCTAGTACTAATTATCTGGGGGCGAACCTCTCTATAAGGATGGTCGTGCGTCCATGATGTATGTAGCAGTCGTCGTAGTTGTAGGTAGCCACCTCCACACCCGGACTAGAGAAGCGGCACGCGCGAATCATTTTTGAAATTAGGAGGAAACCCGCTCAAGCTAATCATGGATAAAGTGATAGTTGTTTCTTATCAAATAAACTAAAGAGACGAGCATTGGCAACCTAACATTCAATGAAATTTGCCTTGAACTTGATGCTTACTCTAAAAAAACTAATAACAGAAGGCCACAGTTGCATGAATAAAGTGAAGTAGTATATATCCTTGAACTAGAAGCAGTGAAAGGCAGGAAGTAGACAGGGCGCTCAGGCCGTAAAAAAGTGTGCGAATGCCACCTTTCGTTAGTCTTTTCAATGTTGCTGGAAGGCGGTACTTCTATATGCTGAATATACGATGAAAAATTGTTGGAACATTCACTAGATGGACGGACGGATGAACGAATGGACAGGCAGACAGAGGGATGGATGGATGCATGAATAGTCGGAGGAACGAACACCGGGGTGGACGGACAGACGGACGAATGCACAGATGGATGAACGCACAGACGGACGGATGCCTGGGCAGACGCACAGACGGACGAACGGATGGATGCACGGATGGTCGCACATACGGATGTACGAACGAACGGACGAAACAAACGCTTCGCCCCACTCATCATGATGCACTCCGTAGATATGATGTGATATTTTAGTAAGCGTCAAATTCAATGCAAGTTTTATTTGTGAATAAGTCACCAATACTAAACTGCGTAAGATATTATATCAGAAACGACTATTATTTATATATAACTAACGTGCGCTGATTTCCTCCTCAATTGAAAAAGGATCGCGTGCCGCTTCTCTACTCCGTCCGTGGAGGTGGCTACCTACTAATAATACTACTACTACGATGACGACTCCTACTACTACATACATCGCAGACGCATGACCAACGGCTTATGAAGCGTCGCCTTCAAAACTACCCATATGCGGCTTGCGGGAAAACTCGCTCCAGTAATTTTAGTACCGCTACATAAGGCAAAACACTATATATAGGTTGTTTATTACAATATTAAAACTACCACAAAATAGTACAGTTTTTCAAATAACAAAACAGCGTTGCACAAGAAATTACAATAGTCAGATAAAGAAAGAACATAATAGATGTGTATGTCATAACGTGCTCTTAGAAAACAAAACACTCGTCCTAATAATAACCTCGAAAAACACTCCGGAGTGATGAAAGCATTAATATGGTAAAGTCTGGTAAAATCTGGTAAGTATAGGCTGCTCTATTGCACGAGTAAGAATATTGGATGACGACTGATAAAGAGATAAATATATGACACCTAGAATCTTGTATGGGCAAAAGTTATAACATTTAAGTGAAACGCTCGAGTTGGACAATGTTTTAGCGTAACGCTTGAAGTGCAGATTTTCCGGACGGAAGATTTAGGCATCAATCACGGTGGTACCGAGCAGTTGAGTGGCAGTTCTCTGGGGTCTCACTCGCAAATGCACGCATGTTACCTCGTAATTCCAAACAAACATTTTTGTCCCATATTGTCATAGATGAACGATGCGTGGCAGGTTCGCACTGACAGTGGTAGCATCAGCACATTTTTTCTCACCTGAAGCGGCAATGCGTTCCCCGCCAGTAAAGATCGAATTTTGCAATTTTCATTGTCCACTCATCTCCCCTGAACAAAAAAGAAGGAAAAGACAAATATGCTTTCTTTTGTTTATTACCAGAGTAAGTATCGTCGAATGATGTGAAGATTCCTCTCGTTTTGTAGGACATATATTAAATTTACCTTATTTTTGAGGACTTTTTCTTCACTGTTTCTGAAAAACCTTGCATATATAGCGCTGATATATACTTAAACTACTGAAAGGAGTTTCACCATCAACCAAAACCCGAGCTTGTGGGGCCCCGATACTTCTCCGGCTAGTCCCGGATGCTGCTGTCTGTTCAGGCGCTCGATGCGCGCTATTTCCTAGCTGTTATTTATTGTCCTTTTTTGTTTTTTTAAATATTAGTCACTCGTCATTGCTAGAGCAAAACGAAAGAAAACGAATCAGTAACGGATCTTGACACATTTAGTATTAATAAACCTTAAAAAAGAAAAATCACACACATTATTTCGCGTGTTTTGGTTCTCACGAGGCTAGATTCAAACCTGTACTCTCCTCTTATCGTTTCCTTTCTTAAGGCCTATTTCACATCATCGCCGTCAAATCAGTGCATACTTATTACTAACGAGTGTAAATAGCATGTATGGCACATTTGTGCGGAAAATAGGTATCATTTTGTTGCAATTTTGTGCAGTATTGACAATAAGCTGAATTGTCTCTTTCACGTAACCTGGCTGACTGCTATTTCCAAGTAAATTGATCGAAACAAATATAAAAATGCAGAGTACTCTCACCGACCCCACTGCCTTTTTTGTCAGGCTCGTGTAGTTATAGGTTCAACAGGTGGGCCTCCTACCTGCGCGCTGCTTTACTGCAAATTTTCTCGGAAAACGACAGTCTTCAGTGTGAGATACGGACGCTATCTGGCAATTATGTCAGGATGGACGAACCTGCAGAATGCAGAGCCACTGGCAGGTCACTGACCGATAACATAAGCTGACCGCATTTCCGTGCATCGCGTGGCTTTATCAGCACAGCTTACGGAAAACTGGGGTTTTAAACAACATATCTATGCATTCTTAGTAGAGCAACACAACATATAACACTTAAGTATGAATATGATGTTTTCAATATGCGAATATTTATAATTTTCATCGACAGTGTTCACAAGTATGAATGCAGCCACCAGATCAATAAGACTGGGGATTGAGAAAATGCCTAAACTTTTTACGGCAGCTGAAGATTTCGCAGACGCCTTTTTGAAAGCTGAGCTTGTTTGTCCACGCTTCCAGCACAGCGGAGCTTCTACATCTGCTCTTAAAGGGAAAGCTCTCAAAAGAAAAAAATTGTGAGATTCCACGTACAGTGAGAAATGATGATATGTGAAGCACGAATGAGAAAGGTTGATATGTCACTTCAAAATCAGCACAACGTTACGAGATGGAGGCAAATGATGCCGTACATGACTTACGTGTAATGATTACCATGTTTGGATGTGTAGTTTACCTTTGTCATCAATTTACGTCACGTGATACCAAATTATGTACATGTGGAGCTAGCGAGACAACTGCGAGCACGCTATGAGCGTGGTACGTTTTCATGTTTTTACAAGACACGCATGCCTGATTATCCTGTTTGCACCAGTCATACCCTTTCGTCATCCGTTGACGTCACGTAACATAAAATTGGTATATGTGGAGCTAGCAAAACGGCCGCGAGTGCATCATGGAGGGCCCTATTTACTCCTATGTAGCGTTGACGCGCGTACGCTGAACACAGAGGCGCTATGTTAAAAAAACGCGAGCATTCTTCGGTATGACGCCAGGTGCGACCAGCGTCTGTCGGCGCGGCCCAACGGAAACCGGCGCGAAATGCGACATGCTGCATTTCGGCATTTTGCACCGATGCGTTATTCAGATAGCACCGAGTCTCCCTCTTTTTGGAAGCCAGAGACGCTGCACGTGTTGAAACGCACATGCGTCAAAGCAGCGCAGCGCGGCGTGCACCCGCGAGTATATGACTTGACTAGCGTCTGGCTTGCCGACGCCAGCATGACGCGACGCAACGAACACTGGCGAGCACGCACACCACGTCCGGTCAAAATGTAATGTCTCATTGACAGTGGCATGTATTCATGTTCACACATGACACGCATCTCATGATTATTAAGGTTGCACTAGTCACATACCTTCGTCATCCATTCGCGTCACGTAATATCGATTGTAGTACATGTGAAGCAAGCGAAATGGCTGCTAGGGCATTATGAACGTAGCTTGTAGCTGCGTTGTTACATGACGCGCATTTCATGTTTATCAAGTTTTTTCCTGTCGCATACCATCGTTATTCATTCTCGTACCTTGATACCAAATTTGTTAAAGGGATGCTAGCAAAACAGCCGCCAGTGCATCATGAGCATGACATGTAATCTTGTTGTTACATGACATTCACCTCATGATTATCATGATTGCACCAGTCACATAGTTTTCTCATTAATTCACGTACATTCATACCAAATTCGGTATGTTTGACGCTAGCGAAACGGCCGCCAGCATATCATTAGCGTGGCATGTCATCATGTTGTTGCATGGCACGCATGTTTTGATTTTTATGCTAGGGTCTGTCGCTTGTGTTCACCATGCAATCATCTCATACCATACCAGTTTTGCAACATACTGTGCCAATAGAACCACCGTAAGAGCTGCAGTACCATGAAATGTAAATCATGACATTCATGACATACATGTCATGATTCTCATGTTATGACTAGTTAAATATGTTCTTCATACAGTCATGGTATGCTCTACCCAGTTTGGTGTCAATACCAAAGTCCAAACGGCCAGGAGGGCTAAAAGCAGTAGGCAGCTAGATAGATAGATAGATAGATAGATAGATAGATAGATAGATAAATAGATAGATAGATAGATAGATAGATAGATAGATAGATAAATAGATGCAAAGTCGCCGAAGTACTTTGAGAAATCCTTAGCATTGAACACTAAGCCGCTGGCAGCAACTCTGCTGCATCTGGATGGAACTAGCTTCCAGCGCAAGGCTGCTGTCTTCCGGTGGCTTAACGCCTGCACGCTCAAAGCGGCATCTACCATCTTTTTGTTAGAGTGAGAGCTGTATGATGCATTATATGTGTCTCGCATTCACACAGATGTGCGGAGAAGACAGAGTAAGTTACAGCAACCTGCGAGAAAAAGTGTGCCGTTGCACAGCAGGATTTCGCCGCCAGGGCGTTGGCAAAGGTGATCGGGTCTATGTTCACTTCACCAACTCCATAGAAACCTTCGTCGCTGTGTGCAGCCTCCCACTCACGGGGGCTTCACTTGTATCATCGGACATCATGTGGCGAGAAGGTGAGTGAATGCACGCGCTTTTAAGCAGCCAGGCTACGAATTTCAACAGCATGATTAGATCCAAGAATCACGCACCTACTAGTCAAACAAAAGGAGACTGCTGCCAGTTGCGGTGACTTTTCTGAAGGCATACGTGTAGCTTGTGTGATGTTATAAGGGCAGGACCACTTCAGGAAGGAGTTGACAGCATACCAGTGCATAAATGCACGTTCACACTTATAGTACCCTTTCTTACCACACATGGACAGAAATAAATTTATATTGGGTACACGAGCTATCAAAACAAATGTCTTTAAATGAAATGTATTCACGCTGGTTAGCAGTACACGCAGACATTAGTCGTTTAAAGACAGTTGCGCAACCTGGCTCGCTCACTGTGTTTAAGGTTTTGAAGGTCGTCTTTTTTTGACGGCCCTCTGCCACAGCAGCAGCAGCACTCAGCCACCTCGTATCGTCTCGGAAGCAACCTGAAGTTGTACCAGCCCCTCACCGGTTCTCTGGGCTAGTCGCCCAGCCAAAACATCGGTTCATTGGTTGGCCAAGTTTATGGTCCATAGCAAGGACCCATTTCATCGCTGTCGATGACGGCGCGAACAGCGAACCTAGCCGGCTTCCTGGGCCAGTTACCCAGCCGGACTGCTGCTCTACCACGAATGCTGGTTGACTTCGAACATGACCGTCGTGCACCACTGAAAGCACGGGTCTCCCGCTTGCGAGGCAACGCTTCATGAACTGTCAATGTCCTTCTCCTCACCATCTCACGAAACATACGAGCGCTCAGAAATCTACTGTGCCACCGCACCACACTTTCGGTTTCAATGTCTCTTTTGTTTACCACACATCACAACCTGATCGTTCTTTTTTGCACTTCTTCATTTTTAATCCGTTTTATTTTGCCATATAACTAAATATTTTTAGTTGCCAGTAATTTCTTTCCTGACAATTTTATTGATGTGCCTACTGGCCGCAGTAGTTATTGCAAGCAATCATAAGTACAGTCTTCATGGTGTAAAACGAAGTGCTTTGCAATGTGCAAGCAATATATCTTTTCTTCATGAGACACGACCTGAAATAGCCGAGTATCTAGAAGCAGTAAACAAGGAGGCTTAACACGGTGATTAAATTATGCTTTCTGTTACGGCTAAGTTTTTTGTAAGGACATATCACTACCACCTGAGGTAGGCCAGGCTTCCACGGCTGCGGTAGAATTGGCTCAAGTATTTAAGAAATGCAAGACGTGTGGTCAATTTCATAGGGCTTTGCAGTGAACATCTTACTTTCCAATAGCTGGATGAAATAATGACCGGGTTCGCACTTCGGTACGCCAATATGACGTAAAATGGTTTGAGCATAGGCTTATGTTCTTATTTGTCACAAGTGGACTTATAAAAGCTAAATCTAGTATAGAGCATTACGGTAAAGAATAATCGGCTAATGATACTGGCTGTGACGAGAATGTTTAGAATAAATAAGAGACACAAAAGCAAGGTGCGTGGATCACAACAACGCTTTTATTGAAAATGTTGAGGATGTTTTTTTTTCTCATTTTATCGAAACAACACATCGAACAAGAGACACGCGACACGTACTAATGTTAAAATAACACCTCACAATTGATGTAACGAGCTCTGAGCAGACACAAAAACAAGTCTAGTCCAAACAAAACTGAAACAGTCTCACCGGTGAGTAGTGCTACTATATTGAGGGATCTACGGCGATTGGAAACGAGCACGGAGAAGCCGTCGTCAAAGAGACACAGTGAAGAGCAACGCGGCACTCAAATGTAAAAAAAAAAACAGAGCAAGTAGGTGCCGAAGACAGGTTCGACGAACGCAGGCAGTCTTCTTCTCGATTTCACCATACCAGAGACCACAGCCAATCACTCGAGACAAACCACAGCCATGACCTGGTGGCTGCGGTTATCTTCCTGCTAGCTCCGTGGGCAGTCAAAGCTTGAGGTCAAGCGAAGCAGGCCACTCCGTCTCTTGACCTCTGCCAGATACTCGGGGCAAACCACGAACGTACCACTGGCGAACTATCTTCACTCTGCTTCTTCCCGAACGAAAACCCTCTTCTGAACTCCGCGACACTTTTCGGGTAGATTAGTGGACTTCTTAATGGGATGTTTGGGTTGCCATGTATATGAGTTATTAGCCCCTGAAATCTTCATGTTAAGTGCTGATTGGGCAACTCCCCTCTCTTGTTGTTGACGTAGCACCCTCGCACCGATGTTACTCGTCGTCGTCTTCCTCGGCTTCTGTTTGCACATGCACTGCTTGTCTTCTGACTTTTAATGTCACGCACCAATCCAGAGCACTCACCTAACGCACGCACTGCACTCATCACACCAACCCATGTGGACACGGTGCTCCGTATTCTTGAGGCTGTCTGCTCGGCCGTTTCTTATATTCTTAATGCGCTATACTTTTCAAGTACAACGAGCTAAGTCAACCATTGCGATCTTTTAAGAAGTAATATACTTAGATTTAAAAAAACCCATCCGGTAATAAATACATGAATCCAAAACATCTCACAAGAAAAAATTTAGTGGTTTGCGTTTTATTTCAGATGACATTGTGGACAAGATAGAGAGGGCTGGCGCTACTGCCGTACTCACCGATGGGGATCACGTCGAAATGTTTGCTCGAATTCTTAGCCGCTGCAATGTCAAGGTGAGTGTGGCAATCTTTTTGGCAGAAACGTTTACTTTTAAGCAACTGAGGCACCGCCTTCACAATCGACTGGAGAATGGAGACGAACAGGGGTTAATACCCTCTTTTTCAATTTCAACTGGTAAAACTGCTAAACTTTATATAAAGTTCATTCATTCATTCATTCATTCAATCATTCATTGGCTCATTCATTCATTCATTGACTCGTTCATTCAATCAATCATTCATTATTCCTCTCATTTATTCATTCAACTAATTTCTGTTCGTTAGACGTGTCTTATGGTTTGAAATTCATAGACATTGGTTAGAACTTCCACCTCTATGACATTCTTTTCGTACCTCTATCTGGTCACCTCTAATGAGTGCATATAATTTAAGGATTTCCATGCTTCTAATAAGCTAATTTTCGTTATCAGACTGCACAGTTTTGGTTAGAGTAATATTCAAAGTCAACGACGAGTATTTATTGGTGGACTCAACAGGGACACTCAGAGGGTGTAACGTTTGGCGAAGGTGTATATGTTATAGTATTCTGACGTTTTATAGACATGCGACAACGTTCTCAAGCGATAGCATTAAAGAGCCTATTTAGCTGAAATTGTTGTGAGTGAAAAATCAAAATCCACGCCGTAATCGAGAAATCAAGAGAGATGTGAAAAGAATAAATAGAATAAAACTTCAATCTTAGTGAAACTTGAGCTTACTCAGTCTGTGTGGAAAGCTAGTTGCTATAACAAAGAGCCACACTATTGCTCTAAAGATATTTGAAAAAGAAAACAATGAGAAAGCTATGTACTGAATCGAGTCTTCTCAACACTTGTAATACTATGTGGCGGAAGCGCAGAATCTCTCGAGGCGTCAAAATAGGTGAAGCGCACAACAAGCAGGTATTTTAGACGTTCGCTCATTCTAAAGCTACCCACACACGTTAAAGTTTTGCCTCACGAACGTGTAACGGCCCTTCTCGCATTGCAAAGATGAACAATTTTAGAATAGTCTGCACCTAAGATTCATACTAACTGTAGATACTCCAGGATAGTTTAAAACGACCAATGTTACTCGCACAGATAATCTTTTCTTTGCGTTACGGTTGAGCCTTGCACTGATAACTAAACCCAGCGATCAGTTCAATGGACAATGCTCATGGTGCCCCTTACGCAATGGCGTTCTACTCTTGAAGGCGAAGTTAAAGTGGCCTCCTAGTTTTTGCATAAATTAAGAAGTCTCAAGCTTTAAAGGGACACTACAGAGCAAAGTATTTTCTCGTAATAAAGTACAATTTCACCTATCTTTAAAGCACCACTTATACCATGAGTAGACCCTAAGTAAAAGAGCAAACACGCTAAAAAAAAAACATGCGGCGAGACACCATGCACCTAGAGATCCCTGCTCAAAAAACCATGACGTTATGAATTTTGAAGATGCATAGAAGCTCCTACGTGATTTGTAATCATCTAATTTCAATTAAATTGTGACCTAGGGAGTCATGAGGTGAGCATGCGAAGATTTGAAAAGTATAACTGAGTTTATTCGTCAAAACGCGATACAGCTGTTCTGAATTTCTTGACGTCCTGTGTAGAGATTTTATTACAAAATATAAAAACTAAGCTTCAACATAGACTTTTTTCCGCGAATAGTGAACCTATGATAGTGAAACTTCTGCCACTGGAGTTCTCTGACAGCAGTTCGTCAAGCTTAACTAGTCTTTGTTTTTATTTAGCGTCAGTGTGATGTCGCACGCATTCTGTAAAGATGCTACAGATCATCGAAAAGATCATATTAGAAATTCATACGTTGTTTGTTCGTAACGTATTTGTGGAGCGCTTTATTTTATTTCGTAGTATAAAATATATATCGAGCGCGTGAAATGAACAGATTGACTAAAGATTTTTCTAGTTCCTGTTAAACATATAATTGAGCATGTATATCATAAACCTTATGAAAGTGTAAGCATTACGATTTGATAAATGCATAGTTGTTACTAGAAGTACAATGAATTGGACAGAATAAGTGAGGCAAACCGGAGAGGTGAAGATTTGCTAAGCGGACCCTTTTCAAATTTTTGTGGTTTTGTACAAACACCACGTGCTGGTAGACCAAGCTATAAGCGTACTAAGATAGCTATTTGAGCTTTTTGTGTAAACAGTGTTGTTTATTACACCACTTTTTTAATCTGCGAATTATTGCAGATGGGTGCAGATTTATGCGACTCCACCAATTAACGGAGCAACATGCTCTGGCCACTTGACGTCATAGTGGCAGCTGATCTGATCGGCTGGCATGGGCTGTAATATGCTCGCAAGTAACATCGGCTGGCAGGGTGGCACAGCTGTATGAGCAGATATGAATGTCTCTACGATCTTCTTTTGTGTTGCCAGACAGTGCGCGTGCTGCAGGGCGCGTTGTGAGATGTCCCTTGAAAGTGCGCGCAACCTGTCAGCGTGCCATCTCGGTTGTTTACACTAGTAAAAGCTCGAATCGCCGATCACGCTCCTGAGAACTCTTTGATTGTCAGTGACGCCAGCATGTCTCATCAGCTGGGGAAATAACGCAGAGGTCAGAAGGGAGGCATGACATAATTTTCTCTAGCGGCCTTGTTACAGGGTGTCTAACTAAAATCATGGCGCGCATGTTTTGATGATGCTCTAGCCTAAACGATTACAAAACTGCAAAAAAACAGTTTCAGAGTACCTTTCAAGTAGTCGTAATCTTTGGATTCCACTTTGTTACGGAGCACATAACGGAGGCTAAGAAGGTGCCCCTTTCTCCATGTACTTCAATATTCTGATTGGTGCGCGGCTAATGCATCTTCTTTCAAGTTTGGCCTTGTAGCTTCGAAATGTTGGTTTCTTGTTTTCGGCAGCGAAGGCCAGAAGTTCTTTTATCAGTCAACAAGTGAGTTGGTCTCGGTATTTCATTCCTTCTGGTTACGAGGAGTATTCGAGAGGCTCAGAATTTATCCTGGCATCTACGTTAAACAAGACTGTAGTCAACTCTTCAAGCGTGAGTTTTTTTTGACCAAAAACTTTCCTTAGGTTGGGCTTCACTGTTATAATAATTCTTCCCCAAAAGCACTCCAATGCAAAATATTCTGGTCTAAACCTTCATTCAAGCTTTAATTAAGAAAATTTTCATGCAATTGGCCCCTAAGTAACGCGATCCTTCAAGAAGCGAATTCTTTTGAAGTCATCTTGAAGGTTTGTGCATTGTACGTATAAATAACACCAGATAGTTCAAGACGTGTGGCGATTCTCCGAAAAGCTATAGCATGACGCTGTCGGCTGTGACACTGGGATATCAGTTCTATTTTATGTCTCTCGTGACAGGGCAAGTGAACAGATGTTGGCGCTCCGACGAAAATGAATTTGTCATTTTCACATGCAGAGAATTGGTGGAATGTACTCCCACAATTTAAAAAAATTCGAGCCACACGCTCTTTCTTTTGTAAGATAAAATGGTTGCTCTGGCACACTGCCAAGGCATATTGGAGGAAACAGTGGCGTTTATTCAATAAACTTTGGTTGCTAGTCAGCGCTGCTGTATGCGTCATTTTTGCCTGGACTCTGGTCTTTCGCGCTGCGTCCCTCCAATATTCTCTTGTAAGAGGGCCACATGGGCGCTCGCTGGTTTAGTTTCGTACATCGCACATGTTCTGCATTCAGCAATAACTTTCTTCACGGCCTCTCTGCGGTGAGGTACTCAAAAGTTCTTACTTCTATGAGAGGGTTTTGCACATCTCAATAAAGAACTCGCCAATGACAGAGGCGTACAATATCATAGTAAAGTCATGATATTGAGGTAAGAGAGCACAATGGTTCACGACGTACGCTTCTTGGGTTAACTGTAAACGGCCTCTAACTCACATGCGCTATTCCATATCCTGGAAAAAAAGTAGCATCTTGGCACTGGACAACAGATTTCACTAATTTGTTTTTCTTGAGTTCGTAAATCTTCTCCTAGTATACTTCTTGCACTACTTGAATACAATAGCATTCAGCTTTATTCATATGCTTCTCTCTTATTCTGAATGCTTTCCCGACGTGGGCATGTTTTTCTTGGACAATTTTGAATAAATACTAAGACCTATGCTGTCATTCGCAGCCCTCTTGTATGATTCGAGTATTTTGGCAAGTATAAAATTGGTCCGAAATCATTGCACATGTAAGACTACCCGAACTCTGGGATCGCTCAAATCTGTGTCATCACTCAGTCCATTCAGCATATTCTTCGGCTATCATGCTACCTCCTCTCATTACTAGGTTAAACATTGCCAACGTAGTTTGCCGCAGCCCAGGTATTTCAACAACGTGCTCTGTGTAAGGTATTCTGCGAGATTATTAGTGCCAGGATAATGTCGTCGTCCCTGCATTTAATTTCTAATACTATTGCTAAAAAGCTATTGCCATCGGACGCTCCTCGCATCAATCGTAACATGTTGGTGGAGTAAGTTCTGAATATCACAGCCATACCTTGTTCAAGTTTATTGACGTACCTAAGAGGGAAGACTGCCAACCCAGTTGCAAGTACCACTCCCAAGAGCTCAAGTCAGGGGAACGTCACCTCCTGCAAAATGCTACTTTGAATTTAGCGATTACGATGGTCGCACAGACCACCATCTCGTTCTCTCCAGCATTTCTCAAGAACGCGCCGGCTCCAAAGCTATTCTGACTGTCGTCGCAAAACAGCTGCATTTCCGTCTCCTGTTAAAGCATCCATCTTTGAATTTCTCGCAGTTTCTCAAATTAGGTGTAATTCTCAGCAACGTTTACTACATAGCACACACAGATCTCCTAGTAGCTCATCGTATCAGTTCAACCTTCATTTTTAACAGCACTTTAAACAGCAACCCGACTTGTGTAATGAAAGGTTTCATCCACTTCACTGATTGAAAATTTTTGACGCCATCTGCTGCACAAGCCTGACGTAAGAAAAAAAAGTCTGAAAAAGTCTCCGGCGTACAGAATCGTGCATGGGACCTTTGCATCGTGAATGCGAGGTGT